TAGAAAACGAATTCAGATTTCAATGTTTTTCTGCCACTATATAATAATCAATTTTTAAAAGTAAAACCTGATTTTATCATTTGCCTGTCAATAAAAGATAGGAGATTTTAGTGGTCTGTGTTCTGGTATTCATCATAAATTAACCTTCGAGCGGGCGCGTGTCATAAATTTTATGACATCAGGTCCGTATTAATAAGTATTTCTTTATTTTTAATAAAACACACATTTTGCTAGAGTAAAAATATTTCATTTATATTAAAGCGGATTTAGCCGGACGTCTCTGAAGACGGCCAAACCCGAATGATTCTACTAGTTCTAGGTCTTGTGTTAGTTTTAGTGATGGTGCTAGTGCAAAACTACAACTAACACTAGACCAAGAACTAGAAACATTCGGATTTAGCAGCACGTCTCTCAAGACGGCTAAACCCGAATGATTTTAGTTCTAGGTCTTGTGTTAGTTCAAGTGATAGTGCTAGTGCAATACTAAGTTAAGTTTATATTATAAAAACGAAAATTATCATAAATTTTATGACAGCGCGCCCGCTCGAAAGTTAAAGCAGTGTTTTCCATAGAGATGATCTCCTTTGATATCATGCACTTTAAAACACGTTTTGTTTCGGCAATTATACCAAAATCTCTGTCGTGGGAATGTTCCGTTGAAAGAAACTTCATATCAACAGAGCCAAAGTACTCCTTCGAGACAAGAAACACCTTTGCTATGTGTACCATTATGTTCATTTTATAAGGACATGAAAAGCACCCCATAGACATTGTCAAAACTATTTGCACAACAATCAGCAAGTATCTATAAATTATTTTCAGAATCATTTCAAACCAAATTATAACTACTGCGTGCTTCATTTTGAACATTCATTCTGAAAATGAAGGTAAACAAAAATAAAATGAAACATTCACTAATTGCAAAAAAGTTAATCTTAATGATGGACAACCAATTTTAATTCAAAAAATGTCACTGGTTAAAACAAAAAAAATGAGATTAGTTTTGTTCTTTCTATTCTCGTTTTTCAATTAGAGTAGCGAAAAGTTTTTTAGTCTTGATCGTATACGAACTGAATACGAAATTAGATTTCGATCGTGCTGGAAAAATTAACCGGTCAAGTAAAAGTTTTTCGTTTTATTAGTACCCCTAAAACTCTTTGACGTTCGGAAAGTTAAAATGTTTGGGAATGTATGGATTCATCAACGTTTGGAAACGTACCGACTTTGTAGATACGCCTCCGGCTTTAATGAATACGTTAACATGTGGTCTCTCTCTCTTCATCTCTCTGTGCTCAATGTAGCTACTAACACATACGTAAATTTAACAGCAAACGAGGTTCGGTAATAAAGCGTACGAAAATTCATGAATATTTAAAAAACTAGCGGAAGGGTGACGTGGTTGGGGGTGGTTATTTCCGCTGCGTCACGCACAACTAACTTCCCCGGATGTTGAACAAAAGCCAAAATAAAAATAAAAACAGAAAGAATCTGCTTTAACAATTATATATTTTTTGATATTAGTTTTTTTTTTGGTATGTAACTAAATTCTGAATGAAAAGCTTTTTATCGTTGCGATTGCCGCAATTCCCTTAGAAGCGGAAGTGAATCGGCAATTCGAAAAATCCCTTTGGGCGATTTCCCCGCAAACTCCAAATATCGAGTTTGAACTGAATTGGCTGGACCGTGCTCTGCATAGCGCGATTGCCCAGGAGTAACAGAACACCAGCTAAATTGAAATTGCTAAAATGCCTTTTTTTATAAAAATCATTTTTAATTATGTATAAACAAAATCACGTAAACGTGATTTCCCGATTAAATGGTTCTCCGTTTGCTTGAGTTGGAAATAGTAACACGACCCTTCCATCCATTTAAGCCTTGTCCTTGTCAAATATTCACCGACCTACACCGTCCTCGACCCAAACTGATTGAAAATACGTGTATGTACTTTACTAAGTAATACGCTCAGAACGATTTAATTCTTTTTTTTTACTTTCAATTTCTCTTTAAAATTACTTAATCCAACTTTTTCTTATTTCAATTCAGTGTTACTCCTTTAAAGTCACTCTCTCGAGGGTTGAGTTTGAAACTACCTCAAACTTCCTCTCGTCGTCTTGAAGTTCGTCTAACTGGTACAATTGATTGACGACGATAAAACCTATAAAACCACTTATTTTAAGAATATAGTAAAGAAGTTGTTCCTCAAATTTGCTCTATTCGATGTTCATAGAAGCATAAACTTGGGGTATTCCCACAGTTGTCTGTACGATATATAAATCAAGGACGGTGGTTCTAGTGTTAATTGATATTCAGCCCTAGATTGTTCTATATATTGTTCTATGTATGAAGGAAAAGTAAACCATTTTCTAAGGCGGTTAGCTCTAGTGACAGTACTAGGTTATGCTAAATAGTACTAGGTACCAGTACCTAGAAATAGAAATATTCGGGATTAGCCGTGCGTCTGAAGACGAAAGGTTTAGAATTAACCCATAAAACATATCCAATAAGTTATTTTAATCCATCGATCAGTTGTGCCAACTCACCCAAAAATAAAACCAAATTTTGAGGTTTTTGACAATTTTCGGTTATAACTTATTAATCATACAAGATTTAGAATTACTTTTTAACCAAAAAACGTTTAGAATTGGCTCATTATACGTATTGGATAAAAATATTTATGTTATCAATCAGAATTACCAACCCAACCTAAGAAAAATTGTAATTTTGACGCTTTCATCAATTTTCCTCTATAACTCATCAATTATATCCAATGGAAAAAATCATTTCATACAAAAATGATATGGGATTAACCCATAAAACATATCCAATAAGTTATTTTAATCCATCGATCGGTAGTGCCAACCCACCCAACAATAAAACCAAATTTTGAGGTTTTTGACAATTTTCGGTTATAACTTATTCATCATGCAATATGGAGATTACTTTTTAAACAAAAAACACTTAGAATTAGCTCATTATACATATTGGATAAAGATATTTATGCTATCAATCAGAGCTACCAACCCAACTTAAGAAAAATTGTAAGTTCGACGTTTTCATCAATTTTCTTCGATAACTCATCAATTATATCCAATGGAAAAAATCATTTCATACAAAAAAGATATAGGATTAACCCATAAAACATATCCAATGAGTTATTTTAATCCATCGATCAGTTGTGCCAACTCACCCAAAAATAAAACCATATTTTGAGGTTTTTGACAATTTTCGGTTATAACTTATTAATCATGCAAGATTTAGAATTACTTGTTAACCAAAAAACGTTTAGAATTAGCTCAAAAAACGTATTGGATAAAGATATTTATTCTATCAATCAGAACTACCAACCCAGCTTAAGAAAAATTGTAATTTTGACGTTTTCATCAATTTTTTTCTATAACTCATCAATTATATCCAATGGAAAAAATCATTTCATACAAAAAAGATATAGGATTAACCCATAAAACATATCCAATTAGTTATTTTAATACATCGATCAGTAGTGCCAACCCACCCAAAAATAAAACCACATTTTGAGGTTTTTCTCAATTTCCGGCTATAACTTATTAATCATGCAAGATGGAGAATTACTTTTTAAACAAAAAACGTTTAGAATTAGCTCATAAAACGTATTGGATAAAGACATTTATTCTATCAAGCAGAACTACCAACCCAACTTAAGAAAAATTGTAATTTTGATGTTTTCATCAATTTTCCTCTATAACTCATTAATTATATTCAATGGAAAAAATCATTTCATACAAAAAAGGTTCAGAATTAACCCATAAACCATATCCAATCAGTTATTTTAATCCATCGATCAGTAGTGCCAACCCACCCAAAAATAAAACCACATTTTGAGGTTTTTGACAATTTCCGGTTATATCTTATTAATCATGCAAGATGGAGAATAACTTTTTAACCAAAAAAACGTTTAGAATTTGCTCATAAAACCTATTGGATAAAAATATTTATTCTATCAATCAGAACTACCAACCCAACTTAAGAAAAATTGTAATTTTGATAGTTTCATCAATTTTCCTCTATAACTCATTGATTATATCCAATGGAAAAAATCATTTCATACAAAAAAGGTTCAGAATTAACCCATAAAACATATTCATTAAGTTATTTTAATCCATCGATCAGTTGTGCCAACTCACCCCAAAAATAAAACCAAATTTTCATTAGACCAAGAACTAGAATCATTCGAGTTTAGCGATACGTCTCTTAAGACGGCTAAACCCGAATGTTTCTAGGTCTAGTATTAGTTCTAATACTACTGTTAGTTCTAGTTTTAGTTGTTATTCAGCGCTATATAAATATAAAGGTAGGACACTCCCTTCGCCGTATTAATCCGTTAATATCGAGATTTTATTATTGTATTTTTATTTCTTGTCATTTTAAAAGCTTAACTTCCGGTTCAACGCCACGAAGTAACAACCGTTAATCATGCGGGTGAAAATTTAATCGTGATAGATGACAAAATCGATATTAGTATGTGCGCACACAAAACGTTATTAACCCAACTCGGAACTACATTAATCTCGTTAAGTTGTGAAAATAAAAAAATTTCGCATTGCTTTTTAAGTTGTAAAATGAAGTAGGTCAATTTTTTTTTAAATCCTTTCAAAAATTGGTCTTAGAGTTTTATTGAGTACATGATTGGTTATCGCAGATTACATCGTTTCGCCCAGAAATCGGTTTGAAATTGTCTCGTAATCCGTTTTTATTACTTCAAATCGATTACCTCTCATTTTTTCCCGACGTTTCCAATTTACACCGAGTTCCTCTTCGAAATTCACCTGGTTCTTTCATCTCTCTCTTTAATATTTATTATTTACCGCAACCTACACATTGAACACTTTTAAAACACGGACACAAAGAGTTCTTAGCCTTTGATCTCTTTCTCAACTAAATTTCAAACCAAGACACATTCGCCCATCTAAAGTTTACCGTAAAAGAGTAAAGTAAAAATAAAATCCTTTCTTTTTATTTTTTAGATTGGAATTAGAGCAATTACGTTCCGGGCACCATTCAAACAATGGCCACAATAGGCATCAAAACGAAGAAAAGAATGATAGGGTGGCTTTAAAATGGCTTTCGGATAGCGTCAGCGAATTAAAACTTGAAGTTCTTGAGGTTCAAAGTGCTCTAAACGCGACGGTCATCCTTCAGAATCACGAACAACTCGATTCCGATCTCAGTTTATTACAAACTGATGTTATCAATTTGAACAGAGAATTGGAAGTTGCCAAAACGAAGAATTTCAAGTACGAGGCAGAGATAGCAGCCGTTCGCGAAGAACTTAACTCGGTCAAGGACCACGCAAAGGCAACAGCTTTAGTTTGCGGGAAAACTAAGAATCAGGTGAGAAATTTGAACGCATTTGACATAATTTAAGTGTACAAAACGTTATGTTATTTATTTTTTGTTTTGCAAAAGTGGCTCATTCAAAAACCACCATCTCTCGTTACTTTTATTTTTTACGTTTATTTTCTTTTTATTTTACGGTTCGTTCGGTTGTATAATGCGGGCAAGACCGCTACGTTTCTCTTCACAGCCCCCCGTGCGCGCTTATCGGGCGGTAGAGGTAAAGGGAGACAAAGGGGGGCTCCAGGTTGGCGTCCCGAAGACGGTCCTCATTGGCCAAGACCGGAGCCAGGTGAGCCCCGGAGCCCGAAACATGCCAGACACATGCTGTTAACGGCAACCGAACACCTGCCGTATTACGCCCGAATTCGAATTTCACCTTTGCATTGTGTGTGTCTCGTAAAAGGGGGCCGCAATTTTTCCTTTTTTTTTTATTTTTATTTTTCAACTTATGTCTCTTACTTTAAAAACAATTCGCAATCAACATACTTAAATAATATAAAATTTACAAATATATACTGTAAAACTAATATTTTTAAGCCATTCGAATATAACTCGGGTATTCCCCGAGTTATTAGTATTCCCCCTTTAATTATTATTCAGCGTTAGGTTGTATATTTTTATTGAAACTTTCTAGTTCTAGGTCTAGTGTTGGTTCTAGTTTTAGTTCTAGCATCATAACTAACACTAAACCTAGAACTAGCATCATTCGAGTTTAGCAGTACGTCTTTTAAAACGGCTCTATTTATTCTATCAATCAGAACTAACAACCCAACTTAAGAAAAATTGTAATTTTGACGTTTTCATCAATTTTCCTCTATAATTCATCAATTGTATCCAATGGAAAAAATTATTTCATACAAAAAAGGTTTAGAATTAACCCATAAAACATATCCAATCAGTTATTTTTATCCATTGATCAGTTGTGCCAACTCACCCAAAAATAAAACCAAATTTTGAGGTTTTTGACAATTTTCGGTTATAACTTATTAATCCTGTAAGATGGAGAATTACTTTTTAATTAAAAAACGTTTAGAATTAGTTCAATATACGTATTGGATAAAGATATTTATGCTATCAATCAGAACTACCAACCCAACTTAAGAAAAATTGTAATTTTGACGTTTTCATCAATTTTCCTCTATAACTCATTAATTATATCCAATGGAAAAAATCATTTCATACAAAAAAGATTTAGAATTAACCCATAAAACATATCCAATAAGTTATTTTAATCCATGGATCAGTAGTGCCAACCCAACCAAAAATAAAACCAAATTTTGAGGTTTTTGACAATTTTCGGCTATAACTTATTAATCCTGCAAGATGGAGAATTACTTTATAATCAAAAAACGTTTAGAATTAGCTGATTATACGTATTGGATAACGATATTTATGCTATCAATCAGAGCTACCAACCCAACTTAAGAAAAATTGTAATTTTGATGTTTTCATCAATTTTCCTCTATAACTCATTAATTACCGTATTTTCTCGAATCTTATCCGCACTCGAATCTAATCCGCACCTCGATTTTAAAAATGCAATGGTGGTAAAAAAAGTTGGTTTATCAGTGTAATCCACATCCGATTGTAATCCGCATTTGATTTCAGAGCATATAAAATTTGTAAAAAGGGTGCGGATTAGATTCGAGAAAATACGGTATATCCAATGGAAAAAATCATTTCATACAAAAAAGGTTCAGAATTAACCCATAAAACATATCCAATAAGTTATTTTAATCCATCGATCAGTAGTGCCAACCCACCTAAAAATAAAACCAAATGTTGAGGTTTTTGACAATTTCCGGTTATAACTTATTAATTCAGCAAGATGGAGAATTACTTTTTAATAAAAAAACGTTTAGAATTAGCTCATAAAACGTATTGGATAAAGATATTTATGCTATCAATCAGAACTACCAACCCAACTTAAGAAAAATTATAATTTTAAGGTTTTCATCAATTTTCCTCTATAACTCATCAATTTTATCCAATGGAAAAAATCATTTCATACAAAAAAGGTTCAGAATTAACCCATAAAACATATCCAATAAGTTATTTTAATCCATCGATCAGTAGTGCCAACCCACCCAAAAATAAAACGAAATTTTGAGGTTTTTGACAATTTTCGGTTATATTTTATTAATTCTGCAAGATGGAGAATTACTCTTTAACCAAAAAACGTTTAGAATTAGCTCATTATACGTATTCTATAAAAATATTTATGCTATCAATCAGAACTACCAACCCAACTTAACAAAAATTGTAATTTTGACGTTTTCATCAATTTTCCTCTATAACTCATCAATTATATCCAATGGAAAAAATCATTTCATACAAAAAAGGTTCAGAATTAACCCATAAAACATATCCAATAAGTTATTTTAATCCATCGATCAGTAGTGCCAACCCACCCAAAAATAAAACCAAATTTTGAGGTTTTTGACAATTTTCGGTTATAACTTATTAATTTAGCAAGATGGAGAATTATTTTTTAATAAAGAAACGTTTAGAATTAGCTCATAAAACGTATTGGATAAAGATATTTCTTCTATCAATCAGAACTACCAACCCAACTTAAGAAAAATTGTAACTTTGACGTTTTCATCAATTTTCCTCTATAACTCATCAATTATATCCAATGGAAAAAATCATTTCATACAAAAAAGGTTCAGAATTAACCCATAAAACATATCCAATGTTATTTTAATCCATCGATCAGTAGTGCCAACTCACCCATAAATAAAACCAAATTTTGCTAATTGAGCTAAACCCGAAACTTTCTAGTTCTAGGTCTAGTGTTAGTTTTAATCGTTATTCAGCGTTAAATTGTTGTCTAATTTTATTAAACTAAAACTACAACTAACACTAAACTTAGAATTAAATTAACATTCGGGTTTAACTGTTTTAAGAGATACACGATTAAACTTTTACTGTACATTAAAAAAAGCATTTCCTTATTAAACAATTTTAAGAGATTGTGATGCAAGAAAGGAGAAAGTTATTAAATTATTATCAACACAGTTTTGGAACTCAAAATAAAAAAAAATTAATTGAGAATTCAAGTTAAGATTTAAGTAATCATTGAGAAGTTTGTTGGAAACTCTCCTCCCCAAATTGCGTTTATAAATTCAATAAAGCCCAACTGTTCCTATTCCGTTACAAACGGTCGCGCGTAAGCTATCTCGTAACTACTTGTTTACTATAGGTTAGTCGTCCCTGAGGTAATCCTAAGGTTAACTTCTCAGACATTTCCACCAACTGAATCCCATTTAACCACCCAAGTGGTTGGAAGAAATTAAGCGGGGATGAAATCTAATTCGTTTTCTTATTTATTCTTTTGATTGAAAACTTTGGTAATTGAAATCGAAAAGTAAAGTTTGCGATTTTTTTTGTGGAAATTGGATTTGTTTTTTTTTGTTGCCGAAAAGTTGGCATTATAAGCGTTACGACCACCGTTCATGTTATAAAGTGAACGGGTTTTACGGCCGGCGGGGTCGGTAAAAATAAAAAGGCACCCAGTGTGCACTTTCTTCTCTCTTCTCACGCGTATAAACTGCCTGAGACGAGGACGTCTGAGAGGCACAATGCCTCAGGACCGCTATATAAAATTACGGCTCTGGAATGTGGTCCTTTTTTTGTTTCTTTGATATTTTTTTTTTTGAGCCGTAAAAAAATATAGAGGTTATTGCAAAATAAGTAATTACTACTTATATTTTATAATTAAATATATAGGAGTTACTATATTTACATAAACCAGGTGTCATAACAGTTTAATTACCACTAGCAAGTAAATCAATCAAGATTACCAAGGATTAGCTAAATAGTATTTATTCGCCAGTATTTATTACATTTGCTTTAAAATGGTTTTTATTTCATATTGATATCTCAATTCCTTTTTAAAATATAATTTGTTAAATTGCACTTTTATTAATTTAACCTCAATAACCACAAGTTCTATTAAAACAATCGTATCACAAAAAGTTGTAGGAACGAAATTTTTATTTTTGATGTGATAAAACTGGGTTAAATTTACTATAAAATGGTTTTTATTTCATTTTAATATCTCAATTACTTTTTGAGATACGATTTTTTTAAATTGGTGTTTGCAAACTTAATCCATTTTGAGCGGACATATACATTCATTAATTAAAAAAAGTTTCTACATCAAAATGTATAGAGATAAAGAAATAAATTTATGACCATTAAATATTTATTAATTGTGCTTTAAATTGGTTTTTATCTCATAATGATATCACAATTTGTTCTTGTGATATGATTTTTTGAACTGGATTTTTATCAAATTAATCTTAATAATCACCTAGTCAGATCTCATTTCCTTTAATTGTATCAGGCGAGATTAAACTTGTTCTGTAACATCTTTTTATTTACTCATCTATTAAAGAGTATTCTATATTTTTTGTTTTTTCCATTCATGTTGAAAATACTTGCTTCTTTTTTTGTATCTCCAACTTATCTGCCAAACACAAAATCCTAAGTTCAATGCATTAATAGATAATGATTTAGACATTAAAGTTATCATCCTTGCAATTGTGGAGTTAGACAACGATTTTGACATTTTTTCTGCATCTTAGTTTGATATTGAGATGAAGTTCTAAATTGGATATAAAACCTATTGAATGATATATACAAAAGAGACATCTTGGGTTGAAACATATACAAAGATTTCCGAACAAAATAGTTGTGAAGAGAAGCAGAGGAAGATGAAAATGTCCTAAGACAATGTGATAGCCAATACATTAAGAGAGAGGGATACTCTACTCTAAATTGCTACATAACTAAGCATTAGCTAGGAAGTCAACTCCAAGAACAACCTTATAAATTTCCTTGTGCAGAAGCCTGCAATTGAGCAGTATACATCATGAGTCACATTGGAACAACACAGATCATAGAGAAAACCCCAGCAAAGTTGTGGCATAAAATTAAAATTCTGTGAGTAACTTTGGGATTTTTTATCAAAACAGTCTGAAAGAGCCACACGTTTAGAACACTGAGCATGGATTTTGGTAGGTTAGGTATATGTCGATGGATATGGCATCTATGTAACATTAAGTTGAAGTACTTCAACGTCAGAAATAAAGCAATGAAGAAGTCAAGCAACATTTTCCCCTAGCTGATTACTTATTTTAGTGTTCTGTTAGATATCAATGACATTAACCCAGTTACTCAGAACGTCCGCTTTCTTCCAGTCTTCATCCTTGCTCGATCTGAATGATTCGTTAGTTTCCCAAGTTCCATTTTGCAATATACTATCATAACTCTGTTCATAATTACGCCATCTTAGACATCACCTAGTATCTCAGACAACGTGATTTCATACATTATTTGCAACACTTGACATAGAGATCTTTTAGACAGCATCCTCCAATCTTTAACGTCTTCTGTTAAACATATCTCTCTCTCATTGTTATCCAGTTCCTTCTATCTTGCGCGCTTTGTATCAAATTTCTCGTCAATCTTTTAATATCTAGAGTCCAACATCTTCCTCTACTTCTCATATCCATTCTCGATCTTCACTCGAGAATGCATCTGAATTCTGCAATTTGGGTAATCATATCAGCAACTCTTTCTTCTTAGATCTTCGTGAGTTACTCGATCGCGAAGCGAAACACCAAGAACCTCTCAATGTTTCTCTGTGTAATTTGAAGCTTTTTAGAACTCATAACTAGATTTTTAGACAGATGGGCAAGTTATTTCTGAAGATATCATTCAGTCTGCCATAGGCTGTCCATGTAAGATTTATTCTTCTCTTCAATTCGCACGTCTAATTGTCAAAATCTTTATTTCGTGCCTTCAACATTTTCAGCAGGACTTAGGTTCGTCATGATCTTTAGCTATATTTAAGAGTTAGCTATTTTTTTGTGCCATAAAAATGGCATAAAATAAAGAATTGCAATTGCTTTGAAATATATATGTGATCAATAAACGAAAGAATAACATTTTTTGTAGCTCGATTTTCTATATAATGATATCCTGTAGTTTTTGTTTAAATTTTATTATCAAATTGAAGACGTAAAGAAATTGTTAGGTTGTAAAGTAAAGGAAAGAGAAGTTAAAGTTGACGCTTTGAAATTCCGGCGAACCTTAAAGATAAGAACCTCCAGCTCCACCTCCTCCCCCGGACGCGGACGTTAACTTAAGGGCTGCTCCTCCGAAGTCGTCGGAACTGTTGCGTTTGCATATTATGTAAATTCCGGCCTCCGACAAACCGACCCGGTAGTACTACTACTACCAGTACTCTCTAGTATCGATTTTACTGAAATTACACCATACCGGGGCAACATTAAGACAACGTAAACCTTCTTCTCGGCTTCTCAATATTCCTCATTCTTTTATACCGTCGGTTGAGAAAATTTCAAATCGTATCGGATAACTTTTGCAGGCAGACGTTACACGTCCCTTTTAAAAAGGCGAAACGATTTCGTTTAGCCTTCTCATTTTAACAGTTCTCTCTCTTTCTTCGTATTCAACACCGAGACAAGTTGAGGTTTTATCTTAAACTGCAATAAAAGCTTATCTTTTGCCACTTTTAACGGTTTAAAGGTGCGAATTTAACACATTTAATTCTCATTAAATTTTACGATTTATAATCTTATTTTTTTTAATTGCAGATGAAAGCTCTACAAATAGAATGGTCCCAAACCTTCAACGCTTTAACTTCGAAAAAAGGATCATTACCAACGTTGGATCATCCATCAAGGCACCAAAGAACTCTTCGCAAACACGTTGTAGATGTAGAAAGAACAGCTAAACATTTAAAAAGAACTAACGAAGCTTTACAAACAAAAATATTAAAATTAGAGGAAGAAATGCAAATTTTACAAAATTTTGTAAGAATGGAAGATAATAAATCGTTCGAATTCGATCGAATTAATGGAAACGAAGTGAACGAGTACGTTAAAAATCACCGTTTAAACGAAATTAATAACGAAGATAAAGATAATAACTTAAATAAGAGAGTTATAAATAAAAGATTAAACGATTTGGAGTTACAACAGCGCAAAACCTCCAATAACATTCAAAACGTTACCTCTCAATTAAGCAATTTCGATAAATTACATCGTTCCATGTTGGAATTACTAGAAAATATCGAAAATATTGAGAATAAAGTGAATAAAAATTTACCAATGTTCCGTAAAGAAATTTCTAAACTCGAAGTTCAAACTTCCGAAGCAACTTCGACTATATCGGCGTTAAAAGAGGATCAAGATAATGTTAGATCGTCGATGAAAGCGATCGCTTCGACGGTTTCAACGACAAAAGATAGGTTTGACGAGGATCACAAAAAAATTAATAATTTAATTGAAGATTTTGAAGTGTTACGAACATCGAGTGATCTTCAAACTTCGAAGCTCCACGATCATATCCTTAAAACTGAATCTTCAACGAAAGATGTTAACGCAACGAAATCAACTATAACTCTAGTTCAACAATTCCAAACGTTCGAAAAGGAATATAAAAATATTATTAATAAACTTCCATTCGATTGTACTTCGATTCAAGGTCCATCGGGAATTTATTTAATTTCACCGGGTGAAGGTGAACCAATTACGGCTTATTGTAACGAAGGTTGGACGACGATTCAAAGACGTCAAGATGGTTCTGTTAATTTTAATCGAAATTGGAATGATTATTCAAATGGTTTCGGAACGGCCACCGGCGAATTTTGGATTGGGAATCGCCACCTGCATGCACTCACTAGCGAAAACTGTACGAAATTACAAATAAATATGCGCGATATTTACGGTAAACATTGGCAAGCGAATTATGATGAATTCCAAGTAGGAAATTACGATACCGGATTTAAATTAACCGTAAATAAATACAGTGGAAATGCAAGTGACGCATTGGATTATCAAAATCGCATGGAATTTTCAACGGTTGATAACGATAGAGATATTTCAAATACACATTGTGCAAGTAATTATGAAGGTGGGTGGTGGTTCTCTCATTGTCAGCACGCTAATTTAAATGGAAGATACAATTTAGGATTAACTTGGTTTGATAATTCGAGAAATGAATGGATTGCTGTCGCGAGTAGTGAAATGAGGCTCAAAAGAAGAAACGTTTGTTAGGGACTTTTTTAATTATTTTTTTAATTTTTTTAAAGAAAGCCAGTTTTTTTTGAAAAAGCCAAAGAAATCTAGTTCATTTTATGTATTATCTAAACATTTTTATTAACTAAGTTATTTATTCTATGTACATGATGATAAAAAAAATCAAAAAGAAACAACCCATCATATCAATTTAAAAAACATCAGACTGATTTAGATATGTAATTAAATTAACTTATAATTAAATAATTTTTTTTTGCACATAAATCTCATTCCGCACAAGTTATTTTTTGTCGAACTCGTTGTAAGTGTTTCAAATCACCTTGTGTATTGTACAATAAGGCTTGTAAATAGTAGATTGTAATTATTTATTAATTCATTAAAACGTTACGTTAGTTGTAAGTGTTAGTCTGCACCTTCTAATGTAATTTTTATTTTTTGATTGTAACCTCTTGTAAATATTAATTGAAAAAAATAAATTAAATGAGTCGTTTTTATACTTGGTCGTTTTCTTACACCACATAAATCAGTGTTTCTCAAAGTATGGTATGGATCCTCTTAGGAGTATATGAAGGGTTTAGTGAGAGTACGCGCTACGCCACACTTTGGCTGCGTCTGGATTATAAACATTGAAAATATTGAGAGTTTTAACTTTATTCAATTTGGACTAGCAAAATGGATTGAAATGTGCGTGTGAAAAATACATATCACGTCAAGTTGTAGATAAAACTGGTCATCATATTGTAACGTCTCGACCGAAGCGGCCTCGACGTTATCAAATTCGATTTAGATTATATTAACCTAAAACTGGTCATCATTTTGTGACTCAAATAGATTTATAGATCTTTTGAATAATTATGCCGAAGTCGTTCGCGGCCGAGGCACAGTGATAAAGATTATAGTAACCTAAAAATGGTCACCATATAGTGGCGCATAGATCTATTGATTAATTAAGCCAAGATTTCTTCTGGCCGAGGCTTAGTGATTAACATTATATCAACCTGCAACTTAAAGTAGACTTATAGATCTTTTACAATTATTCCGAGGTCGCTTGCGGCCGAAGCCCAGTGATTAACCCGCTTATTGCTATCGTAGTTTTAAAACAACAGACCGAAAAAAAAATCTCAATGGAAATGTGAATAGTTCCGTCATATTTTTTGTGTGCAGTTCGATAGAGTAGTATTAAACCCATCTCCACTCAGTGCTGTCAATCCGATGTGATAGTTGCTGCGCGTGGTATTTTGAGGTTAATCCAGCAGTTTTTTAACATGAGTTTTTCGAAGTAAGTATACAGGGTGATTTATTAGCTTACTATCAAAGTTTGACATGATAGCTAATCCAATAACCAAAAAAAATGTTAATGAACATATGTCCTATTTCAATTATTTATGAAATTATAACACATTAAAGTTTTAATTTTTATATCATAATTAACTGCTACATTTTTTTTAAAACACAATAAATATTACAACTGCATGGTTATCACCATAACAACATTAAGTTTTAAATACATACAATAGTTTTAGAAAGAACAAAAAAAATTGATACATTATATTAAATCATAATATGTAAGGTTATCACTAGGGCACGAAACTTTTGTAACAAAACGATACGATTTCCCCCCTCCACTTGTTCTCATTGGCTAATTTTCTGGGTTTGTTTTCTAAGAAGCCACTGAGAACAAGTGGAGGGGGGAAATCGTATCCTTTTGTTACAAAAGTTCCGTGCCTTAGTTATCACCATAGCAACATTAACTTTTAAATACATACATTAGATTTAGATGGAACAAAATGAATTTTTGTTAATTATTCAATAACTATAAGAAATATACCCCACAAACTATNTGATTTATTAGCTTACCATCAAAGTTTGACATGATAGCTAATCCAATAACCAAAAAAAATGTTAATGAACATATGTCCTATTTCAATTATTTATGAAATTATAACACCTTAAAGTTTTAATTTTTATATCATAATTAACTGAAACATTTTTTTTAAAACACATAAATATTACGAATATTGTTCAAAATAGCCTCCTTCTGCTAGAATACATGCTTCACAACGACGAATTAAAGAGTTCTTCAGCCGAATTAAAATGTCTGGTTGATTTCTTATTTCAGTAGCAGCCATTTGTATTCTGTTTAATAACTGTTCTCGTGTGTTAATTTTCACTTGATACACAATTTGTTTCATTTGACCCCATAAGTAGAAATTTAATGGATTAAGGTCGGGGGATCTAGCTAGCCAAGCAAATAGACCATTATTACCAATCCACTTGTTTGGAAAATATTGGTTTAACCACTCGACAACTACTCTTCCGCGATGAGATGGAGCACCATCGTGCTGGTGCCACATATTTTGAATTATATTAAGAGGTATATCTTCAAGTAAATCAAAAAGTGTATTGTTCAAAAAATCTGTAATTTACAGCGTTCAAACGTCCATCAAGTACATGCAAACTTATTAAATTGTTGTTAAACCCCAAACGTTGATGCTGAAACCATGTTGAAATTTTCTTGGTCTAATAGCATGCGGATTTTGTAATGCCCAGATATGTTCATTATGGTAATTATTTATACCATCTCGTGTAAAACATGATTCATCTGTCCAGAGAACATTTGAAACGAAGTCATTATTTTGGGCATGTTGCTGCAATAACGATCCACAAAATGCTAACCGTTGCTGATTATCTCCTGGCTGTAGAGCTTGAACATTCTGTTTATGACACGGATGAAGGCGGTTCAATACGCGCCATGCAAAATTTTGACTTACATGTATGTTGGAGGATTATCAATACATTAACTACATGCGGTCGAATAGCTTTTGCTGGAGCAGGATTACCTGTTTCTCGAAGTCTTCTGAAAGAATCACTAAAAACTGAATAATATGGCAAATGACGCTGTGGAAATCTTTCTTGATATTCTCGTACTGATTGTCGAGCATTTTCATTACAAAAACCATACACGAAAATTGTATCAGCATAGGTACTCTTCAGTGCTATAAGCGTACGTTTTGAGTTTCTTCTTGTATGTAATAATTAAACATTACAGCAAACTGACATTTTACAATGACAACTTTGTTGTAGTGTTTGATTTTACTGACTATTAATAAATTCGCTGCAGAAAACTTTAAAGTTTTATAATTTCGTAAATATGTAATTGAAATAGAACATATGTTCATTAACATTTTTTTTAGTAATTGGGTTAGCTATCATATGTCAAAGTTTGATGGTGCGCTAATAAATCACCCTGTATAATACCAGATAAATTTATTTTTTGTAATTCGCAACGGTAAGCAATGGAAGCTATAACAGTACTCAAACGGGTGCTGTAATGAGACTCCTTACAGCATCCGATGCTGTAATGAGATTTTAGTAACATTTTATGGAACCAGTTCAAGTTGGTGACATTGGGTCATTAATTTTTCTAGTTGTCAATGTGACAATTTTTGTCTATGGATGTTTAAACACGTTCTTAGCATCGAATNAAAAGGACGATAGCTGTTCGGAGTTTTCGGCATTAGCATTTTCTCGAAAAACGAGATCATGACATGTAAGCTACTTTTTTTCTATCTCTTTTAGTTTCGGAGATAGCCTATGCGGACATCGAAATTGGGACACCCTGTATTCTTCAGTGCTATAAGCGTACGTTTTGAGTTTCTTCTTGTATGTAATAATTAAACATTACAGCAAACTGACATATTACAATGACAACTTTGTTGTAATGTTTGATTTTACTGACTATTAATAAATTCGCTGCAGAAAACTTTAAAGTGTTATAATTTCGTAAATATGTAATTGAAATAGGACATATGTTCATTAACATCAAAGTTTGATAGTCAGCTAATAAATCACCTGTATAATACCAGATAAATTTATTTTTCAGATAACTTAATAAATTACAATAATTGCACATGTGAGCTACACCAAAACGCAAATAATTTGCAATTTAACCGTTATGGTAAAGCGAAATTAGCTAATGAATTTGATGTTGTTTATGAACTCCAGTAGAACCCCACTATTTCAACACAAACAATTTCTCAGCGAACTGCTGAAGTTGTTGTCCCCAAAAATAAAGCATATAGTTGGTCATCACGCGACATACAACCCAAAAGTAATAATTGGAATTTGGAATGACATGGAAGCAGTAACGTTTAAACAGACTCCCTTGTATTATTTTGAATGTCTATTTGATAATAACATTATAAACATGTTAATATATATATAACATTATAAACATGCTACAGAAAAAACAAAGTAGGTAATGTGACCAATGAGGAAATGCAATGTTTCTTCGGAATTTTGGTGTTCAGTGGTTCTATGTTATTGTACCTAGGAGACAAATGTATTGGGAGAATGCCACTGACTGTGGTATGCCTATTGATTTAAACGTCTTGTCTAGAGATCGCTTCACCTTTATTATGTTGTGATCTAATCTCCACTGTAGCGATAACTCTAATTTGAAAGAGAATAAATTTGCCAAAATTTGGCCATTGATAGATGCGTTGAATATCAATTTTTTTAATTTTGCACCTTTGAAGAAAACTATAGCATTGATGAGGCTATGGTGCCTTACTATGGGGGACATCCATGTAGTCAATTTATACGTGGCAAGCTCCTCTGATGGGGCTACAAGTATGGGGTGGGAGCAACTCGATTGGGTTATATCGTATGGTGTCAACAAGGGTAATCTTTAGAAAATTTGAACCAGTACAGAAAACTTGGATTAGGAGCCAGTATAATCCTTCAATATCCTGATCTTCTTTGGAAAATTAACAACCAGACACCCTTCCCCTTGTTTTTTGACAATTTTTTTACCTCGGTACCGTTGATTGATGAGCTAGGAAAAAGAGGACTGGATTCAAAGCGACTGGGAAAATAAGGGAAAATTGCGTATCCAAATGTCCTTTGCCAACAAACAAAGACATACCAACGTTGCACCGAGGTTCCTAAAAATTCCAATCTACAAGAGCTGAGAAATCATAGTTTGCAAGGGGCATGATAATAGTGTTGTCACAGTGGCACCAAACACGGCGTACAGCGAAAGCTCGGCAACGCCAACTACGTTGCGCTTTTTGTAACAAACATGTCAATTTTGTAAAAAAATATGAACATTAAGGCAAGTATTAACTATGATCCCAAAAAAAAAATTCAATCAGACATAAAAATACTTTTCAGTAATATCTGGGTTAACTATACTATAAAATAACCTAAAAATGGTCATCATATAGTGGCCCAGTGATTAACATAATATCAACCTGAAACTGTGCATAATTTTGGGGCGCCTTGGTTCAATTAAGTAGACTTATAGATTTTCTGAATAATTAAACCGAAATCGATTGCGGCGTAGACTCACTGATTAAGATTATATCAACCTGAAACTATGCATCATTTTGTGGCGCCTCGCTCGCCAGCGGTCTCGGCTTTGTCAGATAATCAATTCACTAATTTAACCGAGGTAGCTTGCGGCCGAGGCTCAGTGATTCAGACTATATGAACCTAAAACTGGTTATGATATTATAACGCGACAGCCGCGAATCGCCTCGGCCTTATTGACTAGACTTATAAATTTTCTTCTTCTCACTTTAGAGATTAGCCCTGATTTATTTCCATTTCTCCTCTTTCATCCTTTTCTCACTTCCGTTCCTATGGGTTGTTATCCCTTATGCTAGCGTTTATGTGGTCTCCTGGAAGTCGCCTGGTGTCTGGTTTTGGAGCTTGGATTTTCTTTACCAATCTTTCCTCACCAATAAGTACAACATGATCTCTCTAGTATTTTTTCCTAGATCTTGTCCATCTGACCACATCTTGCACCTTCTTACTCTGTCACGCAGGCTTAAGCTTGCAATAGTTATTAGTGTTCTCATCTCTATAACTCCAATAACTTGTTTGGTTGTTGATGTTTCGGCTCTTGTCTCGACTGCGTATCTTAGCAGTGGTTTTACACATGTTTTATAGATTCTTACTTTTTACCGTCCTGTGTTTGTTCCGCCATATGATGTCCCAGAGGTGTCCCAGCATGGTGTCCCAACCAGACATTACTGCGGCTTTGGTTGCGTGTGATTTCACTTCATGTCTGATATTGTTATTGCTTGATATATAGACTCCAAGATATTTAACCTGCATAGGATCGACTTTCCATCAACCTCCTAATTGTTCTGCGTTGTTTTCAGTTTGAACAGCAAACTTACATAGATTAGGATGTTAGGACTACATCGTCAGCGTTGCTCATGATCTGTATTCTACAATTTCCCATTTTGTAACCTATATTAGTGTACTTGACGCTACTTATATTAGTTACTTACTATTAGTTCATCGCGGGTTTTGATTCTTGTTCAGTTTTCCGTATTCAATTCCTTTGTTAAGTGTGTTACTGTATTCTATGATCTGATACTGATCTTTGATAACTATAAAAATACGATGTCAAGATCTGACTGGATTAATTATTTATTATGCCAAAAGTCTGCTCGAAATCTGTACACTTTTCAGAAGCTATTGCTCAAGAAGTGGAAAATTGAAATCACTTTTCAGCTCAATGTACATTAAGTAGGATAGATCTTTATATTAAATGTGTTGATTTTTTTTCGAAAGTTTGGGAAACACTGGCATAAACAAACAAAAAAAAAACAGTGATAACAATTTTAATTTAAATTATCTCCTCATTTTATATTTAGCAGACACAGATAACAATTCCCCTTTTAATTAAAAGAACAAATTCCACAATCACATTATACTAAAACAATTTCAAAATGAAGATTTATTTAAATATATTTGGAATACTATTTTTTACATCAATAAATTGCGATGTCCCAATTCTAAATACTCGTTTAGGAAAAATTCAGGGAATTTACGAATCTTCTTATGAAAATCGAATTTATTCTGCGTTTTATGGAGTTCCTTACGCAAAACCGCCAATAACTAATCTTAGATTTGAAGTAAGTCAAATTTAAATTTTTTAAGAAATAATTAATTTTTTTTTTTAAGAAACCTGAGCCTATTTCACCTTGGAATGATGTAATTTATAACGCAACTAATAAAAACATAGTTTGCGCACAAATTAATCATGTTATAAAACCATTTGGTGGTGAATATCGCGGGGTTGAAGATTGCTTGTACCTAAATATCTTTACACCAAAATTAAAACCTTCCCCTAACGATAGTTTAGATGTTATTGTTTTTATACATGGTGGTGCATTTATGTACGGTTCGAATAAAAAAGGGGCGCGATTTTTAATGGATCGTGACATAATTTTTGTAACGGTTAATTACCGTTTGGGAACTTTAGGATTTTTAAGCACCCAAGATGAAGTTTTACCAGGAAATTTAGGATTGCGAGATCAAGCGATGGCTTTAAATTGGATTAAAGAAAACATATTAGATTTTGGTGGAAACCCCAATTCAGTAACATTAACGGGTTTATCAGCGGGAGGTTCCAGTGTTCATTTTCACTATTTTTCACCTTTAACAAGAGGTCTTTTCCATCGGGGGATATCAATAAGTGGAACGGTTTTAGGGCCGTCAAAAATACAAGAGAACCCTTTGGAAAAAACTGGAATGGTGGCTAAATCTTTAAATTGTTTTAATGAAAATACAAGGATTATGATTGATTGTATGAAAACTAAATCGGTGGAGGAGGTTGTTAGTGCTATCAAGGTGTTAAGACCGTGGGGGTTTTATCCTTATTCACCAATTGGGGTTACGATTGAAGAACCTATGAAGGACTCTTATTTACCTGATCATCCAATTTCGTTACTTTCAAAAAAAGCATTTCATGATCTCCCTTGGATTAATACTTATACTTCTGAAGAAGGCCTTTATCCAGGATTGGAATTTATAGGTGAACCAAAACATTTGGAAGAATTAGAAGAGAAATGGAACGAATTAGCACCTTTAGTATTTGATTATAATTACACTGTATCTAAAGACGATATGGAAAAAGTTTCTAAAGATATTAAAAAAGTATATTTTAAGGATAAAGCAGTTTCGAAGGATAGTTTTAGGGATTTAGTAGCGGTAAAATTATTAAAAATTATTAGTATTAAACATTAATTGACCGATTTTTAGATTTTAAGTGATCGCATGTTTGTTCATTGTGCTGAAAAGGCTTCGAAGCTTCAAGCATTCTATTCAAAATCGTTTGTATATAATTATTATTTTAGTTATTCTGGAAATGGAGTTGCATCAGCGGGTAGTAAATGGATTGGAAAACATACAGAATATGGTAAATAATAGATGTTACTAGATTTAATTGAATGTATTAGATGAGGCTCCTAGAACCTCAAAATCGCCAAATTCCAAACTCTTCTACACTTATGTCCCTATCTGATTATGTTTTCTATCTCACATTAATATCATTTAACTGTTTCTTTTTCTGTGTCTTAGTGTGTACCCTGAACTGTTCTGAATCCCACGCATCTTCATCTGGTGTAGTCATTGAGGTGTAGTTGTAGAACAGTAAATTGAATAAAACTGCTAATACTCTAATTAATTACTTTCATAGTCAAAACTAGTTTTAAACTAGTTAAAACTACTTTTGTGGTATTTCATTAGTTACTTCATCTCATTTTTTTTATTTAGGCCTCCCTCTCATATTATTCTTTCCACCTCTTGCCTCCCATATTCGTCTAGTTTGTCTTGTATCTGCCATTCTCTGTATATGTCCCCACAACAAGTGCAAAGATATTCCCACTGAATATTTACAATCATATTTTGCTTAATGACGACTATTTCATTGCATGAAAAATCATTGTGATACTTATAAAGTTACAATACAAATATATAACTAGAAACAAGCAAATTGGAGCTAGATTTGAAGTGTATTCTGGGCTGAAAACGCTAGATGTGATACATAATTTGAGGGTAACATATATTTTTGAAGCATTATGAATGAGTCCTGTTAAATTATTTTATTAAAATGTGTACACATCCAAATCACTTAGTCCAAGTAATGTTGTTTAAGCAGTTGTGGCCACAAACCCAACAGGTGTGTGATTAAAAGTACTACTAAGACTCCTAAAAAGAACTACTTATAAAAACTACTCACCCAAAGAACTTTAATTTGTAGTTTAGAGCAGCAATTCATTCGTACACTAACATTTATGATCATTTTGGATTCTATTGGTGCCATTTGTGAATTTGGAACTGTCTGCAAATAAGAAAAATAAATAATTTCTATAAACTTAAATGACATAACCTAATATACTTAAAGTAAATTTTCAACTTTACATGCCTTATTATATAATCTTTAAATTAATTTCTTAGTAGAACTCTTCATAAAGATTATACATAGTACAAAACAAATCCCTTATTTTATCTAAAATACTTAATTTATCTAACCTGACTTTTCTTTATCAATATCAACATTATTACAGCCTCTGCTAAATTAATTTTCAATGTCTTCTTATAGGAGTAGGT